TCTGATCTGAGCTGGAACCTGTCTTATTTTCTTGTATATACATACATTTTTTCATACACTATTAGTCAACTGAACAGCGATTTAAATACATACACTGAAGAGAAAATTGCATGAGAAATAACTTGTTTATCAGAAATCACTTACCCCCCTACTTTGTAGGTTTTTCTTCCAGAGGGTGTAAGCAGTTCCAGACCATTTTGAACTAAGAGCTCAGAAAAAGCTTATAAAAATTCCTGCCTTGTAACCCAGTCACAATTCAAAGAACTGCTCACAAATGTATTTTTAGCTCACCCCTTTTCAGTAGCACTGTAAAAGAGTTCTGTAACAAGTGCATGAGATTAATAAACCTGAAATGTGGCAGAATAATAATGCAGAGAAATGTTTCAGAAATGTTTCATCTGCTACAGTCTCCCTAAAAGGGCAGAAAACAAAGCCAATTAAGCAGAAATCTAATCACACTTAAATGTACCTAGAAAGTTAAGTGCAACTCACTAGGAAAAAAAGCAGATGAAGTAGCCCAAACTCCTGAAGCTTACTGTAACACAACAACGTGGTTTACAATACATGGAAACCGTTGATTCACTGATTCATTGGGCTATTTAATCATATAATCATTACTTTCTGACAATTTTCAGGTCCAAAAATAGTATTTTTCAAGCATGATGGTGCAGGTTGGTTTTTTGTTTGTTTTGAGGTTTTTTGGGGTTTGGGGTTTTTTTTAATCATCCTGTGTAGTTAAAATGAGCTACTTGACATGAAAATATTTCTGACAATTTCTCACAGATGAAATCTTTCAAACTTCTCACCTCAACCGGAAGCAAATGTGCTGCTACCAACTCTGGTTTGAGACCCAGTTAAATTTTATTCTATGTTCCCTTCAGATCAAAGGACTCTGGTTGCCCATGTATTGTAAAATGTAGCTCTGTGCAAGTTTGACATACAAGTAAAAACTAAATGAAAGCAAGGGGAAAATTTTGAATATGTTATATGTCACAGAGGTGATATATCACACAATTACCCTACCAGTGACATCTTAAAGCGCATCAATACATCCTTCAGTGATCTAAAGCTTAGCCTATGATTACATTTCACTGAAGGATAATCCACCTCTCAGAAAAACAGTGCAAACCCAAGAAGTTATCTGTCTCACAATTATCTCAATTTATACTCTTTAGAAATCTTTGGAACAAGAGGAGGAAGAAAATCTTCATGGTTGTTTCTCCAGGAGCTTCTATTTTTCTGCTTTGCCTAAATTTGAGTTTTAGAATGAAACCCACTGACTAATGAGGCAAACCAGGCAAAGTTGGACACGTCTTCTGAATTCTTTTCCCACTGTGTTATATGGGGTGAGGGAAAAGTAGGACAGGGACCAAATTATTTCATTATTATTGAATTTAATGGACTTTAAAAGATTGTGGATCAACCTCATGAATTATTATAGCTGAAACCAGACAGATTATTTACATAATTTATTGCTGATTTTATGATTGTATGTCCTGGGATGTATTTTATTGCTTTTCAAGATTCAAGATGCATTTATTTCACTGAAACATTCTTCACACTGGAAGTCCAGTCCCATCTGATGAACACTAATTAATATGACAGAAAACCATTATGACTGAATGACAAAGAATCTCTGCAATTAAATTATTTCCACAAACTAAGGAACCACTTTTCTTTCACTCTGTTACATTATATAATAATATAATTCTGTAACATTATGTCTGATCCAAGATTTGAATTTGCACACGTACGGGTATTTTGGTGTACCTATCTTCTACTTAGAACTTTACATGGCAAATGTATGGCCCTGCTCCTGACTATTTGTTAACTGTTCTGCCTGTTTCTCCTCCCTCCTGCTGCTGATAGGATTTTTCTGATTAGATGACAGTGATGTATACTTTTGTTTTCCCATGATTAGAGAATCTGAGTTCATGGAAAATGCCCGGGAGCCTTTTCTCCTTCAATTATAGGGATCAGTCAATATGGTTTCTTTAGGAAATGATAATTACTTGCATTTCTGCTTCTCAAGACTTTATTAAAACAAATCTATTTATATCACTCTCCAAAGACTTTGGGAGTTGGTAACTGTATTGTTAAGGACAGATTATTTTATGAGCCCACCCCATAACATGGGAATTCTTTAAACATGTTTTCCACCAGGAGGCTGAGGAACTGAAATAGAATATTCAGGAAAGAAATGTGAAAAGGCACAGGCAGCTGACTGAGCTTCCATTGCCAAAGCCTAGACAACTTGAATTCTGACATCTGTTCATTTCATGGGAGAAAGCTGAGACCCAAAAGCTGAACTACAAATGGGTTCTCTACAGAAAAAAAGCCTTCTATACAAAAAGTAAAAAAATGTTATTTGGAAAAAATCTTTACATTTAGTTGGAATATGCATAAAAGTCACTGACACAGTAGGTTAAATGCAGGAATTAAAACAAGAACAATATTAATTATCCAACTACATTTTTTACAAGAAAGATAGTATATGTAACACACTTGAAAATATGCATGGATTCTAATTTTTAATCTTTGTTTCAAAATTTCCAAAAATTTAAGTATGACCTTTCAGAAAAACCTTCCAAAAAACATCAGTCAGAGCATTGATTACCAAGCAGACAGTGCATATATATCCCAGAGCACAACAGTTAAAACTGGCTGTACATGATAATTCATCCACAATTGTAGATGTTCACAGCACTTGCTGGAACATCAGCTGGTATCTGACCACTTACATTCTTAAGAAGAGTTAAAAGCCAGGTCAATAATAACGATAGCATGTAAAGTAGTCTTCACCTTTTGTTAGCTAGTAACTCAGGCACAAACCCTGCCACCTCTCCCCAAACCAACATTAACAGTACTTAAATGGACAGTGTGTTTTATACTAAATAAAACAGTATAATAGATTGTATTATTTCTACATTGAGCCAGTATTTTTTCCTGGAAGAAATGACATACCATTTAAAAATTCTTTCAGGTAAATAGTAAGCTCTTAAAGCAGACAATTTTTGCAAGTTACAAAAGTAACATGCATCATATTGAACAGATGAGTGCCTGGCTGTGTAGCTGGTGCCCTGCTCAAGGTTTTGGCTTCTGAGATCATGGATCTACCTGTGAGAAGCCAGGTTTGCTGGGAGTTGATGGGATTCAACTGACCAAGTGGGGTAAGAGCCTCTTTGCTAACAAGCTGGCCAGACTTGTAAGTAGGACTTTAATCTAGTCTCAGTGGCAGAAGGGGACAGAGTTTTGAGCAACACAGAAGTGCCAAGGGCTGCTGATGCATTAGGAACCAAGAGGGAAACACCTGTGAAATGCAGCAAAGGAATTAGGGCTTGTTCCTCTAAAAAGGTGATGCAGTGAACAGCCCAGCTGAAGTGCCTCTGCACCAATGCACACAGCATGGGTAACAAACGGGGGACAGAGTTTTGAGCAACACAGAAGTGCTAAGGGCTGCTGATGCATTAGAAACCAAGAGGGAAGCACCTGTGAAATGCAGCAAAGGAATTAGGGCTTGTTCCTCTAAAAAGGTGATGCAGTGAACAGCCCAGCTGAAGTGCCTCTGTACCAATGCACACAGCATGGGTAACAAACACAAGTTGGAAGCAGCTAGAAAGCTGTGATCTAATCGATATCACAAACTTGGTGGGATGAATCATACAACTGGAGCACTGCAATCGATGGCTATAAACTGTTCAGAAGGGACAGGCAAGGAAGAAAGGCAGGGGAGGGTTGTCCTTTATGTAAAAAAAAACCCAAAAAAAGGATTGACTGCACAGAGCTGTGTTTGAAAAACAGTGATAAACAGGTTGAGAGCTTATGGGTGAAAAACTCAGAAGTCAAGCCAACAAAGGAAACCTCATGGCTGGTGTTTACTACAGGCTGCCTGATCAAGAGGATGCTGCCTCATTCTTACTTCAACTACAGGAAGCATCACATTTGCAGGCTCTGATCCTGCTGGGGTACTTCAGTCACTCTGAAATGATGTGTCTTTACGTTTATTTACTATATAAGACTCTCTAAGTCCATTTACTTCTTAGCTTTTAAACATTCTATCTTCCTACATCATTTGTTTGTTCAAAAACCTACAGAAAGATTTTAGTTGCTATAAACACTACCTTTCCTGAACTCTTTCTTACTCTCTTATCATTTCGAGCTCTGCTATAGATGATGTCTTTTTCAGATCATGGCTTCTCAAAAAAAAAAAAGTTAGTTACAATCTTTTTGCATTAGTTTTAAGAACAAAAACATAAAAAATGTACTCTTCCCAAATATCTCAGGTTGCACACCATTATCCCAATGTATTTTTAGGTTTTTGAGCCATCATCACCCCATAGCAGCACTTACTTATCACTTTCCTGCTTTGCACATTCTAGAGATAGTCTCAGAAGATGAGGAGGTTGAGATTTTGTACATCTCGTCAAGTGTTATGAAATATATCCCCTCTGCCCCTCCAAGGAGGATTTCAACACAGACCTTCAGGAAAATGAAATCTGAAACTATGAAGTACAGCATGGACCAAAAGCAGCTTTTCTTTCTTCTGATTTGTAGCAATTTTTCACATTTGGTCTATGGTATTTCTTTCATACTCTGCTTTCAGAGGATTAGTTTCTTCCTCACATCTGGTCTCTTCCAAACATTCCTCTTTTAACACCCTTTCCCCCATTAGTTCTACAGAAAAACATTTTGATTCCATAAAGAGTATCTGGTTTTTTAATGCATGCAAGAATCCCAGAAGAGGAATGAAAAAATAATGTTTAAGTTGTTGATCCAAAACTTAAACAAACAATAAAGAAAAATTAGAACTAAAATACTATAGTTACTTTCTTCGAAGTCACAAGCAGAATGTGGGACTGATATAGTCTCAAATGCAGTCATGCCACAAAAATGTTAAAATAAAGCTTTAGAGCATAGCAGTGTTCAAATGACTCAGAGTTACTCAAATTAGTTTGCTCCCTATAGAATACACCTACTTTTCTTCTCAAGTCACACCTTACCTTTGCTTCCATACTGTTCTGGTGGCAGGTCATAAGGTACAGGAAAATACGTTGCTGAATCATTACTTTCTGAAAGCGTTTTCCCTCTCACACGAAAGTAACCTTTGTCCAATCCCTATGAAGGAAGGGAAACATACAGAGCAAATTAATTTTGGGAAAACGACAAACCTATTCCACAACAGATTTTTCTCAATAAATTATTTTAATAAACAAAATGTTTTGCCTCCATTACTGAGATTAGATACTTCCTAAAGCGCCTTCCTGTCTTAAGAACTCAGCTTCTCTTATTATTACTATTTCAGGCTCTTCTCTTGGTTTTACACTCGTTGGCTTGGCCCTGCAGGTAGGTCCACATCGGATATACTCTACCTTCTCAGTCTCTTACATGTATACCAATGTATTTCCACATTCACTAGGTAAACGCGCTTGCGGCCTTGCTTGCATGAGCAATTCTACCCAAATTGCCAAAGGTCTTTACTAGTACCATATGGGCAGCATATCTTAATTCAGCAAGATATTGCTTCTTTTGCATAAAAGTGTACAGACATTGAAATAAAATTTTAATTATTAAAAAAAATATTAACACCTTTAGTGTTTAATATTTAACTAAAGGGAAAAGCTTTAAAAAGTTTCTCTGCTGTTTAGTTTCATCATGACCATATTGGTTAGATGTTCAGTGTGTTTCACAAACTGAATTAAAATTCAACTTGTGATACAGAAATAAGTCCTCAAACCTATGCTTTTCAGATATCTTGGGTAACAGCATCTATGTATGCTAAAAAAATTTAATGAAGATTTGAAACTGCTTGCAAAAAAGTTTCAAAGACTACACTCATATTAGAATGACAGTGGATTTCAAACAAGGTTAAGGACTGCAAGAAAAAAAGCTATAATGCAATACAATACAAGGGCAGATAGATTTAAAGCGATTCAAGTTACTTTGGCAGATGATATTGCTTAGCCACTTCTCCAGAGAAATTGGATCTCATTCATCAATTGTAATGAGTTATACAAAAGCAAATCTCTCATACTGAGATTTCCAATAGCCTATTGTCAATCAAGTACAATTTGATTAGAATAGACTAGAAGTTTTAAAGCTATCAAGCTTTTATTATTTATTTCTAATACATTACTGAACAACTGTATTTTTCTTTTTAAAATCATAGAATAGTTTTGGTTTGAATGGATCTTTAAAGGTCATCTAGCCCAACCGCCCTGCAACGAGCAGGGACATCTTCAACTAGACCAGGTTGCTCAGAGCCTTGTCCAACCTGACCTTGAATGCTTTCAGGGACAGGCCATCTACTACTTCTCTAGGCAACCTGTGCCAGTGTCTCACCACCCACCCCATAAAGAAATTTATTCCTTGTATCTAGTCTGAACTTACCCTCTTTTGGTTTAAAACCATTACCCCTTGTCCTGTTGCTACAGGCCCTACTAAAAAGTCTAAACCTCCTTTAAGTATTGAAAGGCCCCAGTAAGGTCTTCCCAGAGCCTTCTCTTCTCCAGGCTGAACAACCCCAACTCTCCCAGCCTTTCCTCACAGGAGAGGTGCTCCAGCCCTCTGATCAGCTTCATGGCCCTCCTCTGGACTCTCTTATGTTGAGACCCCAGAGCTGGACGCAGTACCCCAGGTGGGGTCTCACCAGAGCAGAGTAGAGGTGGAGAATCACCTCCCTCAACCTGCTGGTCACACTTCTTTTGATGCAGCCCAGGATACAGTTGGCTTTCTGGGCTGCAAGCGCACATTGCTGGGTCATGCCCAAACATTAACTCACACTCTATCCAAGGTGTAGAATCCATCAGTCCAGGTTTTACTGGATTACTGTTTTGTGACTATACAAACACATTTAATTACCACTAAACAATCCCATTTTATCTAAACATGCTAGCTGAATTGATAGTCCCACCTATATACAATACTTAAGTTCTTTACTGAAGTTTTACAATGCTAACATTTGATGAAGTTGAAGGAAGCAACATTCATATGACCATACAAAGCAGCCTTGCACCTTTTTCTTCGATATTCAGGAAGCATACTAACAGAGAAAAGGGAGAGACGCCAAAGAGAAAGTCAAGCTGTACTACAGCAGTTCTAGCCAATCAGTTCAAGAAACTCCTTCAGAATATAGACACTCCTTTTGTCTCACCACCCAGAGAAACAGGAAACTATTAGTTATGATGTAAGAAACCCTGTGTGGTATTTCAAGGACTAAGTAAAAGCCACTGACTTTAAAATGAAAGAACAGGCGAAGCAAACAAACATGATCCATGCTAAAGGACTGTGTGAATGAAAATCCATTTTAAACTTCCCCTTCTTGTACCATTAAAGTCAGTGGAATTTTGGTAAAACTTCATTGAAACCAGGCTACAGCATTTTATAGGGCTTAGCCTTTAAGTAATAAGCAGTTTGTTTAAAACAGACCAATACAAAGAGAGATTATTTCTGAAAGTTCATAAATATCTAGGGGTTTGAAACGGAATAGAAAAATACAAAATTCAGAATTTATTAGAATAAATGCAACAATCAAGTTGTACAGCTTTACTTCCAGTGAACTTGAATCACTTAGGGATTGATAGAAATTTCATATAGAAATGCAAATAACCATACTTATGTCTGTAGTGGAAAGAACATGAAATACGCCCGTGATGCAATAGCTTACAAAGAACAGGAACGGTGTAAGTGGTGGTAAGAGTTTTTTTCACAACTTGCAGTAGCAAGGGTCTAGGTGGCATGCAGTCTTAGATACTACTCATAAGGTGACATTTTAATTGCAAACTAAAATGGCTTGTATGAAGTTTGATTGCCCTGAGGTCCTATGAGCATTTCTCATCTTCGACATGCAGCTATGAGAGAAATGTTAAATGGCAGAGAAGGCTTCTCTGCTGTATCATGAGCTGGTTCTTATTCTACAATGAACTTCATACAATACCTGATCAAAACCACCAGAGGTACACAGCTGTTGCCTGGCACCACCCATGTTTGAAATTTGTATAACCACTGCTATCAAAGCACATAGTGTAGGAACAACACCTACTTGGGCCTCTGCATACTTGAATTAAATTGAGATTACTATGCATGTATCAAGAACTATACCACATGTATTCCACTCGGAAGTTCATAGCAGTAGGTGCTTTTCACACAATATGAAAGAAAAAAGCACCACTTCCAGGACATTTTAAAATCTCATTTTCTTTCCTGTTAGCTTTTTTTTCAACCCAGTAATGTTTTTGTTCCTGCTTCATTTCTTCTACTCTGTGCCCTGTTATTACTTTGGTGTGTTTCTTTTCAGGCATTTTGATTCCTTCTCTTGTTCTACACCTTTGCTTTCCTTTTCCTTTCTCAGTAGTCACCAGTTATATTTTCCTTTCTTCTAAGTCTTATTTCTTCTCTGATGCTGTCCTCCAAGCCTGCAGGACTGCACCAAGTTGATCCCAAAATTGTTTTATTTGTCTGTCAGAATTTAACCTGTAGGGATCTTCCACTCAGGAAATGCTAATCTAAGAAAAGATATTTAGTTTTCCTCAAAACATCTTGGAGTAAGAGTCTAGGTTATAGAATACATTCTTTAATAAGGCTCTCTGAGGAGATTCACATGCTTTTAAAAATAACTCTCATGTGTCTATCTTCACACAGAAGATCACACAGAAATTGAAATAAGTCACACATTTGGTCTGTTTTGAGCATTTCCTGGATGTTGACAGCTCTCATTGCTGTTTCCAAAAAACAAACCAGCAGGATCTTGCCTAAAAAAAATTCTGCCTGCCTTGTAAATTTTCCTCAGCCATGTTCTATTCTTTCAGCATTTTTCCCTCTGCAGCTATATTTTGTTCTTTGACAGCTGCTCACAGCAATAGATTTTGAAATGTTAAAAGATACATTTCTTGGGACATTTTTTTTGTACTTATGAAACTTTAGATGCTGTTGTGGGGTCTGTTAATGCCTTAGCATCATACATTGTAAAAGTAGGCGCTGGGAGGAAGAATGGGAAAAGGAAGTAGGGACAACTTTTAAAATTCTTTCCAGCCTTTTTTGCCCCCAACACAGGGCAGATTATAGACTATACAAAAAAACATCACACAAGATAGAGGTAAGAATTGCTATCCCTACTTGAGTTGGAATTAACACTGATATCACTACAGTATTTTGATACTACTGAAGAAACTCCTACAGGAGAGAGCTCATTATTCTCCTAGATGATTATGGGTGTATCCTTTCCCATGCCAGTAAACAAAAAAGCCTGCTCTTCAACAAAACTATTTAAAAACTCACTAGTTTTTGCAGTCAAGAATTAAAGATGCACACAAACTTTACAGTGATCATACACGTCTGGCCAGGAGAATACACAATTAAATCCTTCCTCAACATTAGGGTGCATTTATTCAAAACAGAGCTTTACTCATCTGTATCAGAACATTTGCTGTAAAGAAGCCACAGTGACAAAGTCAGGTATCTAAACCCAAAGTTCCTCAGCTTGGAAAATGTGTCTCGGTGTCTTTATTATCACTGAAGTTTGAAAACATAGCAGTTCTGTAAACACTAAAAGCAAGGTTTAACATCCTAGAGTCCACATATAAAATCTTGGTTTATCCACATTGTATTTACTTCCTTACTCCCACTCTATTTCATACAGGATAGACAACTTTGACTGTTAACTCTGGTTTCAGTTGAAGAGCTTAACTCACTTTATTTTGGTTCTGACCTAAGTTGAGCTATGACTGAAGGTGCCTGGTTCAGTTGTTTCACCTCAGCAAAAATTTAAGCAGTGCAGTTCTGATGATCACACACGCACATACTGGCTGGCTACTTTCTAGTCCAGATTCAGCTCATATGCCTATCTCCACAGGCAACTATAAAAGAGTTTTTTTCCTCATTACCAGTGAGTATTCACCATCAAATAAAGCATTTCAGAATCTGAAACACTATTGTTAGTTGTGACTGATTATCTAGATATAATTGTAGCATCTGATAGCACTAGGTACGCAATAATGGGTAGTTCTCAGTTTAATAGCAACTACTACATTCCTCTGAGTTTTGTATTTCCAAAAACTGACTGGCTAGTACCATATTCTTCAGCAGACCTTTTAGAAGATTTAAGTATTCCACCAACTTTT